CAGGCCCTGTGCGAAAGTTTTCACTCGGAAAGTTTCATAGTTTGTGTGGAGATGAAAGTATAAAGTATTGTGAGGGGGCGAGTATTATCAGCGGCCTGTTGGTCTAGGGGTATGATTCCTGCTTTGGGTGCAGGAGGTCCCGGGTTCAAATCCCGGACAGGCCCGCCCAGCTTTTCTAGTAGAAACCTTTCGGTTGCTGTGTCAGCACTAACGGTGAACTGTAACTACTAGTTAGCGGCCTGTTGGTCTAGGGGTATGATTCTCGCTTAGGGTGCGAGAGGTCCCGGGTTCAACTCCCGGACAGGCCCATTGTCAAATTTTTCAGTCAGAAACCCAGACGTTCTCTAGCTAAAGAATCTTGTGTTAAAATAACTGTTGTTCTTGAAACAGTGGCCTGTTGGTCTAGGGGTATGATTCTCGCTTCGGGTGCGAGAGGTCCCGGGTTCAATTCCCGGACAGGCCCTCTTTATCACTCTATATGGTACATGAATACAAATATAGGATACTAGAACCTACATCCTCCTTGACCTCCAGTAACCTGTTGGTCTAGGGGTATGATTCCTGCTTTGGGTGCAGGAGGTACCGGGTTCAAATCCCGGACAGGCCCCAGTTATGAACCATGACAGAATCTAGACACATATGAAGTGCAATAGACAGTCATCCATACAAGAAAAATACGCAGATTCAATTCTTACCTGGCGACAGTATTGTGTGAGATGAGTGACCTACCTGTTAATAAGTGAAGACCCACTTAAGGTACAGGTATGTATTAACCAGGTGAGATGGACCCGTGTTATATACAACATTCACAGTCGTAAAAGAGTAACATTCATCCCTCATAAGAAAGTAACACACCTCATAAACATTAATAGAAAAATAGAAAGTTAACTAATTTACACAAACACCTGCATAAACAAATCCAATTAACACTCTCCCCCTAACACTCAATCACCAACATACAATAACGAATAAAAATACTAATAACGATACAAAAATAACATAGTAAGTAGGACTCGAACTGGTACACTGCCTACGAATTACATGAAGAGAAACGCACCTGGACATACACACACACATACACACACACACACACAGCACATCAGCTGCATTAGCTGATTAGATAACTTTAACTAATATATAAATAGTATCTATAGCTGCGTGTTTTATTTGATGTTTGTGAGTTTGTTTACAATTAATTAGCTATATACGTATGATTATTGTAGTAACTAATGTGTTGTATTAAAAATATACAGTATAGTCATGCATTGGCAACCTTAATTAACTAGATAATTATTATACTAAGTCTTTTTTTGTTTCATATAATTAGTTAGAAATACTTTTAGCTTTTACAGTATATGTTATTCATATATATTGACTTATTAGAGTGATATTAAACCTAAAATAGAAGCTAGTGTTCAGTTTTGTGAGTTTAGGTTAGCTATGGGTGAACGGAACGGGATGACGTGAGAGCGAGTAAGAGAAAACGGAACAGAGAGGCGCCACGTCCCAAGATGTAATGTACAATGTTAAAGGGGCACCACGGACAAGACCCCCCCCTCAACATCATTATAACTTACGAATTAACCCCCAAGTAACATTTAATGAAACTATATATCATTAATTAACCCAAAAATAACAAATGTTATACAAATTACCGTAGAGCATTTAGAATAATTTTGTAGGATATATTTGAAAATTGGCTTTAGTGGAGCTATGTTGGTGGTAATAAGACAACATTAGTCATGAAACCTGGCACGGTTCATCACTCAGCTTACCTCCGTTTTCTTCTTCTTTTACCTGCCGTCTCACCTGTAACTAAATTACTCATAACACAAGGTACGTACATGAAGAGGGTTCAGCATGTATGTAGACTGTTTACATACACAAACAACGGTAAACTGTAAGCTAACGCAAACCAATATAACCCAATCCCAACTTATCCAACCTAATCCTAATCCTAACCTATCCTATCCTAAACTGCTGTTATTGTTGTTATTTGTGTTATTGATTTTGTTATTGGTGTTTTATTGTTATTTCTCTTATTTATGTTAATATTGATTGTATTAGTATTGTTATTGTGTTATTGGTTATTGAGGAGGGATCTTAGTGCATAACTTTTTAATAAATTGTGGAACGTATTTACAAAGACAAGTAAAAGAATAATTTAAATACGAACAACCACAGCCTAAATTACCCTTAACCCTAATCTCAGCCTTACCATACACTTGAACAGTACAAAAGAATAAACCACTTATCTTTTTATATATCCTGAGTCCAGACCAAGTGTACCACCCTTGGACCACACCCTCTCGCCAGCCGACCACACCCTCTCACCAGCCGACCACACCCTCTTGCCGACCACACCTCTCACCACACACCTCTCACCAGCCGACCACACCCTCTCACCAGCCGACCACACCCTCTCTCACCAGGCCACCACCCTCTCACCTGCCGACCACACTCATCTGCCGACCACACCCTCTCGCCAGCCGACCACCCTCTCACCTGCCGACCACACCCTCTCACCAGCCGACCACACCCTCTCACCAGCCGACCACACCCTCTCACCAGCCGACCACACCCTCTCACCTGCCGACCACACCCTCTCGCCAGCCGACCACACCCTCTCACCAGCCGACCACACCCTCTCACCAGCCAGGCTCGTCTGCTTCTCTCTGCCTGACCTGATGGACTAGACCCCACACAGTGCTGATACCATGTCGCCAATTATCAAACTAGTTTACCTCACTAGTACACAACATACAGGAACAAGGTAAAATATAGAATATAGCCCTAACTACTAAACAAGCAGTAATTACCTCTGAACAGTTAAGATAATTACCTCTAAAACCAATACATATTCGGTGCCACATCAGAAAACAATAATAATGATAATGAATGAATGAGTGAATGAGTGAATGAGTGAAACATCCTTACTCATGTTTTATAAAGGTAACCCAGCCAGACACAGACGGACGTACAGACACACGTGACTTTGTATAACACGGGGAGGTGTACTTAGATGTTATATATGGTATGGAGGAGGAGGAGGAGGAAGGGGGAAGTAGAGGAGGAGGAAGGGGGAAGTAGAGGAAGAGGAAGAGTTTATGAGAAGGGAGTTATATAAGTAAAGAGTATGTGTGTGTCATTCATTATTGTTATAGTGTGTCTGTGTGTGTGTCTGTGTGTGTGTGTGTGTATGTGTGTGTGGGTGTGTGTGTGTGTGTGGGTGTGTGTGTGTATGTGTGTGTGGGTGTGTGTATGTGTGCGTGTATGTGTGTGTCTGTGTGTGTGTCTGTGTGTGTGTGTGTGTATGTGTGTGTGGGTGTGTGTGTGTGTGTGGGTGTGTGTGTGTATGTGTGTGTGGGTGTGTGTATGTGTGCGTGTATGTGTGTTAAAAGTTAAAGCTGTGATGTTATATTTTCAAGCTTTGGTCAAGCTTTTAAGCTGTGGTGTTAAATTTTCTAGCTATTTGTTTATTTTTGTACCTCGGTGATAAGTTTGAAAAGAAATACCTTTTATTTTTTACAGTTGGGTTAGGTTAGGTTAGGTTAGGTTAGGTTAGGTTAGGTTAGGTCGGCTAAAATCTAAAAAGGTGAATTAATCTTGGTGGTCAAATCGTCAGGTGATCTCATTAATATTTTTACACATCAATTAACACTAAAAACTAAAACAATGTCAATATAAATTCAGTATTTTAAACATTACTCTTTATTGACGTCACCAACATACAAATCACACATGGAGGTTAAATAACTAATATAAACTACAATATAATGATTTAGAGTAACAAAGTTTATATATAAATTCCAGGACATATTGATAGCTACCAAATTTGTTTTGTTTTTATCGAGTTTAAGTAATAATATTGTTTTATAAATGACTAAATCATCAGGTATAATTAATTTACATCTTTTGGTGATAATAATAATAATAATAATAATAATAATAATAATAATAATAATAATAATAACAATAATAATAATAATAATAATAATAATAATAATAATAATAATAATAACAATAATAATAATAATAATAATAATAATAATAATAATAATAATAATAATAATAATAACAACAATAATAATAATAATAATAATAATAATAATAATAATAATAACAATAATAATAATAATAATAACAACAATAATAATAATAATAATAATAATAATAATAATAATAATAATAATAATAATAATAACAACAATAAACCAATACATTACAATAAAAAAAAAATTTCTCTTCTGAAAAACTAAATAAAATCCTACATGAATTTTCCCTCCGTGGCGAGAGCATTGTAATTACCCACTGTTTACACACACACACACACCTGTCAGCATAATTCCTGTAAATGATTAAACAGGTGTGCTAATACATTTACAATACAGTAGATACAAAATAAACACAAAATGAACAAGACAGATATATGAAACACTATATGAATGATAAGTATAAAAATGAATAAAAGAGAAGAATGAAGATAATATGATAAGAATGGTACAGTTAATGGGCAGAATAACACGCCTTTAACTTGGTACAGGAGCCACGAGCCAGCCGTAGCGGTTACCTTTAACAAACTATAGTGATACGTAACTAAAGACTAGATCTATATTGAGTTAGGGTCACCTGTAGCTTAGACACCCCCCTCCTTAGCTAATTATTTCACCTGTTGATTGAATACTCTATAGTTACCTGGGGAGTTTGGGTAAGGTTAGGTTAGGTTTGGTTATGTTAGGTTAGCATTGGGAGGTTAATCTTAAGGTGAAATAAACTGAGGTGGCTAATCTTCAGGTGATCCTTGAGTTCTTCTTCTTCCTCCTTCATGAAGTTTTGAACCTTGTGTTGTGAAACTTCTTGGAACTAAAGGATTATTGCGGTTCTGTGTTGTGGAACCTCTTAAAAACTTTACGTAATTTGGGGGATCCTGTGTTGTGGAACTTTGGAACCTTGAGGAGTTTTTGACCCCAACACTGACCAACCTCTTGACACTTTTTTCTTTAAGAATTTTTCCGTAATCTCTCCTCGAAGACGTCATCGAACTCAGCAAACAAGTTGGCAAAAGGGTTTAAGTTCTGAGGGCTGAGGTTCGTCGGGTACCTGGAGGAGGGGAAGCCGAGACTGGAGGTGGTCGTCTCTATGTCCTCGCCCTCGCCACCTTTCCTCGCGAAGACAGGACGTTTGATATCCTTCTGGGGTTCCTTAATGCTGCCTGAACTAGAACGCTCGTTTAGTAGGATACCTTCTCCAGATCTCAGTTTACTATATGAGTCGTCTTCCTTCGGCAGGCTCACATCGTCCTTGGGGTTGTAGGTGTTGTAAGGGTCGTCGAGGAATTCGTAGGTCATGACGGGTCCCACGGGCTTGTAGTCGCTGATGGGGGAGATGTAGCTGCTGGTCGGGGCCTTGTAGGAGCTCGTGGTAGATTCGTAACTCGAGGTTGGAGGGTAGTAACTCGGGGCAGGTGGGTCGTAACTCGAGGTTGGAGGGTAGTAACTCGGGGCAGGTGGGTCATAACTCGAGGCAGGTGGTTCGTAACTCGGGGAAGGTGGGTCATAACTTAGAGCCATGGCTTCGTAACTCGATTTCGGAACTTCATAAGACGGGGCATCGTAACTTTGTGTTTGAGGTTGATAACTAGGATTCGGGGCCTTGTAACTCGGCTCTGGTGCCTTGTAATCGGTGTTCAGAACTTCGTAAGCAGGAGTCGCGGCTTTGAATTCGTAAGTTGGGGAATCCTGAGTATATCCGGAAGTCGGCTCCTTGTAATCCGAGTTCTGGGTCTTGTAGTCCGACTCATGGTATTGAACACTGAACATCAATGGCAGGTTGGCGTTACCATGTCCAGCATACCCACCACCATTACTACTACCATGATCCTCACCATAACTCTTGCCATACCCTCCACCATAGCCACCCCCATCATGACCACCTCCACCACCATAACCACCCCCACCATGACCTCCTCCACCACCATAACCACCCCCACCATGACCTCCTCCACCACCACCACCATGACCTCCTCCACCACCATCCACCCCACCATGACCTCCTCCACCACCATAACCACCACCACCACCATGACCTCCTCCACCACCATAACCACCCCCACCATGACCTCCTCCACCACCATAACCACCCCCACCATGACCTCCTCCACCACCACCATGACCTCCTCCACCACCATAACCCACCACCATGACCTCCTCCACCACCCCCCCACCATGACCACCTCCACCTTTCTTGTAGTCCACAGTGCCCCCTCCACCGAATCCCCCAAAGTACGACTCTGGTTGGTCGTCGTAGCCAGCGTGGTACTTGGCCTTCTGCGACTCCTTCACCGGGTCGTCTCCGTACTTCACCTTCTTGCTGAACTTGGCTTTACCCTTCGCCTGGAGCTCGTAGGGGCTGTAGGCGGGGCCCTTGTACGGTGCGGGGTAGTAGGTGGGTCCTTTGTTATACCCGCCACCGCCGCCGTGTCCGTATCCTCCTCCACCGCCGTGTCCACCACCACCGTGTCCATATCCTCCTCCACCACCGTGTCCACCACCACCACCACCGTGTCCATATCCGCCTCCACCACCGTGTCCACCGCCGCCATGTCCATACCCACCACCACCATGTCCGCCGCCGTGTCCCCCACCGCCTCCACCACCGTGTCCACCGCCGCCATGTCCATACCCACCACCACCGTGTCCACCACCGTGTCCCCCGTGTTCTCGACCGTACACACTGGTGCTGCTGGTGGTGTCCTCTCTCGCCTCCGCCTCCGCCTCGGGTGACACAACACTGGGAGAATCGTACGACGCCGCAGTGTCTGATCCGGCGATGTCTTCGTCGTCGTCTTCGTCAGCGTCGTCGTCGGGGGAGTCTGTGTTTTCCCGAGCTGTGGCGGCGGGCAGTCGACGAGACCGGAGTGCTGTGGAGGATGTGATCGGTGGACCTCGTGGGAGCTTAGACGTCTGTGTGACTGGCGAGGATCTGTTGGTAGTTTTCCCGGCGTCGCCGTCGTCTGAGATCTCGTCCCCAGGGTTCGTACCGCTGTTAGGCTGGCGTGTGAGACGGAAACCCACCGAGTCTAACTCCTTCTCTGCTTCCTCTTTCTCTTTATGTGGCTCCCAGACATCATCCTCTTCATTATCTGTCTTACTCTCCTCCTCCTCCTCACCCTTGGATTCCGTCATCGATGTACCCGGGTCAGAATCTGTGTCTCTTCGTGAGCGGCTATGAGCGATGCCGTGTTTCTGACAAGACAACAACAGTTTCTTACCCCGTTTAGAGAAGAGCTCATGTTTCTTAGCGGTGTTCAGAGCGTTGATACACTCCATCACCAATGTCAGGTTCTCGCTCGTGTAGAAGTGTAACCCCTGAGCGTTGTAATCCCCAGCAGCGACGTCTGACTCCAAGGTGGTCTCGTTGTCATAGTTTAGTTCCACCTGGAGGAGTGAATCAGCAGGTACTCCGTTTTCTGTGAAGGGTTGATACGCTGAAGTTGAGACGGCCACCAGGAGAGTAAACACCTGTGTAAACATCGCCGCCCTCACCATTGTAAACAACAGCGCCATCTGTCGAAGTAAACAATTGATTAGCAAACAAAAAATAATACCATCTTTAGGTGAAATAAGCTGGGGAGTCGAATCTTAAAGTGATCCACAAATAGAACATGTCTAGGGGTTATCTGTCCACCGAGAGAGAGAGAGAGAGAGAGAGAGAGTCATTAACAGGTAACAGGTATCCACATCATCAACAGAGAGAGAAAGGTGGAGAAAGTAAACTCATTCGTTCTCCACCTGTATATTGACACACACACACACACACACACACACACGCGCGCGCGTAAATAAAGTGAGTTTCTAAAAGTTAGCGTCACAGTCCTTGGTTCAGCTCCTCGCGTTAATTATAGACACCACCTATGCTATAGACGTGTATATATAACGTTTTAATAGAGTCTTATCATGTGTCTGTGTTAATAGACTCCTTTGATGTTTGTGTTTAGAGAATCTTGTTGAGGATATTACAGTACACATCTAAAACTTACACACACACATACAGTACACACATAACGGGAGGTCCGGAGCTAATGTGGATTGTTGCTTTGCTACGTTAAGATTTAATCATTCTACACATAACATGAACATAACCTCACCACTACACACGCTGACAGTCTCATGGTTGGTTGGCCGTCGGCTCTTGGGTCATTACGGCCGTTAAACTCTCATGCACTGCAAGCTGAAGACTTTGTAAACAACATACAGCTGACGCCCAGTGATGCCAGTTGTACAATGATTCTTGGAACTCATAGTAGGAAAGCAATTGTTGAGTGAGAGGATCTTTTGGTGCCAAGAGAGAGAGAGAGAGAGTTGGAACACACACACTACAACAATTAAGTGTTACTGCAGGAACTCACGGATGGGAACATTATCTTGAGTAGTGTTTTAGAAAGTCTTACGTGTAGCAATTAAGGTATATCACAATCCTCCGTCATGTTGGTTAGGTTAGGTTTAGCTGTTTGGGTTGGATTAGCTATTTTGGTTAGGCTATGCTGGGTTGAGATGGGTTGGGTTAATTGTATGGGTTAGGTTAAGTAAGGTGATTGGGGAAAACTAACCCGAAAATATTAGAGAATCCATCCGAATCCGCACATCATTATTAGGGGTGGGGGTGGGTGGGTGGGGGGTGTACGTGATTGTGAGTTAAAGGTATTGGCCAATCGGACTAGACGTGAGACACTTTCACTCGATTGGTGATTGGGTGGGTTAAAGTTTACCAATCCACAAGAGCGTAACAGAGCTCTAGGTATCTGAGAAGGAGGGAGGAAGGAGGAGGGAGGGAGGAGGGAGAGTGGAGGGGGGGAAGGAGGGACGGAGGGAGGAGGAGAGGGAGGGAGGAGGAACAGATGAGGAGGAGGAGGAGGGAGGGAGGGAGAGTGGAGGAAGAGAGAGGAGGGAGAGTGGAGGAAGGGAGGGCGGGAGAGAGAAAGGAGAGAGAGAGAGAGAGAGAGAGAGAGAGAGAGAGAGAGAGAGGTCCGATGAATTCCATATTGAACACTGTGACTCCTGTTGTCTCGGTAGGGTTGTCAAAATCCATAGTCCGTTGTGTCATATTGTCTAACACAGAATCGTAAAGATACTATTTGGAGCAGTATCTACCCTCCTCTCTCGGTGGTCTCTTGTTATTGGCCTATGCTTTTGTTTTGGACCAATACTCTTTTGTTAGGTGCTGAGAGTTCTTTTGTTATATAGAGGAACTCCTATAGGCTGTTATGCTGCCATTATTAACCAACTTCCTGGGTCTTTGTGTGTGTGTGCGTGTGTGTGCGTGCGTGTGCGTGCGTGTGTGTGTGTTAAAAAGGAATGTTTGTTGTTTGTTAGTGTCTGTGTGTCTTGTGAAAGTGTCAAGACGAGATAAATCTAAACATCACTTGATCAGATACCGTAGCTTATTTCATGGCTTTCTTTCACTATAATATTAGACACCCTTGTTTATTTCACCATCGAATTAACCATCATTACGTTACCTGGTTAATTTATTTAACGTTAGGGCATTTAATCGGGTGAATGAAGCAAGGATGGACACGAAACAGCTGAGGGCCGGTAACATCACCTTGTAGAATCACCAAAAATAAACAAATACAACGAACAACATCCTATGAACAGTCTACACTTTTATCAAGAATGCAAAAACAAAAACAAATAATAAAATAAACGTGATAATTCCAAACACTTCAATTTTCACACATACAAAACAAAACGAGAAACTGAATGTAACTTATCACCTTGGGGAAGCACTGTATAGAAGAAAACTTTAGGAGACCAGCACAGGAGGAATATGCCCGCCCGTGGTGCTGGCGGCGGGGCGAATGGTGGACGCCGGACTTGGCCACTCTGGTATAGGTAGCGAGGAGGAGGGGGGCGGAGCGGTAAAAGTAAGCACAGTGGTACCTCAGTCACCCGAGTCGAATATTTCACCTGTCTCGTCTGCTGCCATATTAGTTGCCTCTCTCTCTCTCTCACTCTTGTTGTCAATTGCTTTCGTCTCCTACCATCTTGCTCACCTCTCTCTCTCTCTCTCTCCTCTTGTTGTCAATTGCTTGCACTTGTCAATCATCTCCATTAGTTTGATAATGTAGATAATAATATTGATTCCTTAGCGCTGATCACCTGAAGATTAGACACCCTTTTATAGCTTATTTCACCTGAGAATTAATCTACCTGTTGTGTTGTGACGTCTTGTTAATTAGGTTAGGTGATTGAAATTCTGCATGCAGTTTGTTTATGATTGTTTACAGTTTGATTGTCTGATATTTACGTGGGTGGTCTTTGTTTACACGTCACCTTTCATGTTTAGTTGTTTTGTTGAGCAATTTGTTTACTTTTCTTGTTCCTGCTCTTCTTCTTCCCATATACTGTACTTTTGATTGGAAACGAAGAGCACTGTGATAAGGAATTGGCGGGGAATATTAAGAGGCATTTAAATAGAACTTTCTCTCGCCTTTATTATTTTGGCGCGCGAAACAATACCGCGATGATGATTTGGCGGGAAAATATTAAAGAAGCGTGGAAATTGAACTCTCTATTGGACGTGTTGAGTAGCAGGGGGAGGAGGGAGGAGGAGGAGATAAGCGGGGCCTATAACCTAACGTAACCCAAATTAACCTAACCTAACCAAAACATTAGCATTGGTCCCTATTAACATTGGTCTCCATTGGAACTTTTACCCATTAGTAGAAACTAGAGGAAGTAGTCCCATGACTTTCAATCCATTTTATTCCTCATTTATTTAACTAACTTGCAACCTCTCCTTCCCCCACTTAACCCCT